GAATTCAGAGCCGGTCTCTTCTAGGAGCTGCCAAAGTACCTGAGAGGTTACCACAAGTGTTCCAAGGATGAAGCTGTCCAGCTGGCAGGGCTGATTTATAAAGTGCGTTTCAATAATGACCGCACGCAGCTGGCAACCATCCCCAAATTCCTGAAGGAGCTGGTGCCAGACAATCTGCTCCGAGCAGTCTCACCAGATGAATGGAAGAAGGTAAGAACATCAGCTTTCATTAGTCATGCTATGTAGAGAGAGCTTTAGGAGAGAAGATAGACATGGAGCCACTGTCCATTTCTGAGCTGACAGTCTTTGAAAGCGCTGTGGAGGGATGCTATTGGATGTTGCTGGATTTGCCAGCAGGATAGAGAGACTATTTGCCTCTTACAATCCTCATTTTGCATCCTCTCTACCAAAGCTCTGAAAGATATCAGCAGGCCTGGATGACTGATTTGAGATGTGCATCTTTCTTGAAGAGAGTAATCTACTTCCAATGCCCAGAATAAGAGTTAGAGATAGGGAAATCAGTGATGGGACTGGGAATTTGAGGATACTGGACAAAACCAGAAAATTAAGGTGTGTAATAAGTATTTCACAGTTTGGCACCAAATAAAATTCCTTGCACCACATGCATGCTACTCACAGCAAAAGGCTCTTTTATCCATGAAAAGGCAATAAAGTTTCAGCAGGTACTTCTCACTTAGTCTGCTGAGGAAGACACAGGACACCATTTCCAATGACCCTATACATGTTTCAGCAGAAGATGGGATACATGTCTGTGGGTGATGAACACTGCCTTTCTTTTGTTTCATCCTCCACTGCCCCTCTGTCCTGAAGTCCATTCCGTGGGGCTTCTGGGCTTCCTTCACCCATCACATGAATAAGAAATGCTGGGGATTCTGGCTCCCCCTTGCCCCGTGGCATGGCAGGATGTTTACATTTTCACAGTCTTCTGTTGCTGTGGGGGGGAAAAAAATGATCTTGGTGATGAGCCGGTGCTGTCTTCAGTGCTAATGCTGGGCACTGGAAATCTGCCTGTCTCCAAGCTGAACAGGCCTTGATCTGCTTCTCCCACACAGAGCATTATTGCAGCATACAGTAAACATGAGGGAAAAACTGTGGACGAGGCCAAGATTGCCTTCTTGAAAATGATACACCGGTGGCCAACATTTGGATCAGCCTTTTTTGAGGTGAAGGTAGGTTCTGACTGACTCTAATTCTGTATCTGCATAAGTGAAAATACATTAGAAAGCTGAGTTCCTGTGACCTATTGAGGAAAACTCAGTTCCTTCAAAGTGGGGAGATGGCTTCTTTATTCATTCCAAACTATGTCTGTTGTTTACTGGCTGTGTTGTTGTTCCAGTTGTAATACCCATATTACAACTGTGTAGTGGCAGTAGGGGGTTAATTACACTGATAACTTAATTGTCTTGTCATCACTCCACAACAAAATGCTGCCAAGTCTTGTCTCTCTGGGGACTCTTCCCTTAGAACAGAACTGCATTAATCCTCTCATTCTGGAGAGGATACCTCCTAAGAATCATTTCCCACTTGCTACCTTTAATTTCTCCTTGTTTAGGCTCTTAACTTCCCTTAACTGGTTTGCAACCAACCATTAAGCCTGTTATCAGTGTGGTAAATAATGGATCTGATTCTGCTTTCATGCAGCAGTTGCTGAAGTCGTTCATGTATGGCCTAAAAAGGTTTCAGTGTTCATTTGGGAAAGAGAACAAGTAGCCCTGGATGCTGTTACAGGCCACTATGCACCTCATACAGATAATTTCTTCATTTTCTGCTTATCCTTCTGTGTTACTTGTTTACAGCAAGCCTCAGAGCCAAATTTACCAGAGATTGTGCTGATTGCAATCAACAAGCAAGGAGTCTCACTGATACATCAGAAGACAAAGGTAACAATTGCTTCTCAGGAGTTTATGGGAAGAAGGATTTAACTGACTGTGCTAATTTAGGGACATCAACAGGACCTTGTCCAGGAATGATAAGAGAGGACAGAGGCCCTCTCTTCATTTTTTGTGTGAAACAGAAGAAAATTTTACTGCCACATATTACTTCTTTGCAGTTTCTACACTGCAAAAGAAACAGTGTAGAGCATCTCTGCAAAGGACATGGGAATCATGATGCACCTGGGCAGGGTGGTGAGATCAGTCAGATGGATGGGCAAAGCACCTGCTTCGGGAAAAGTGTTTTGCAGGAAGCCCAGGTGTCCAAAAGCTCAGGCTGAATTGCAGTGTTTAGCTGCTGTCTAACCCCAACACTGGTCTTACCTAGTTCCCAGGAAAAAGGAATATCACTATTTGCTTTCAATAATGAAAGTTTTAATTATTGTAAATATAATGGCATTGTGCTAAGGCAAAGATCAATATATAATGAAGGTAAGTCTCATTTGTGTGATTAAGATTCACCTGCTTGATGAAAATACAATATAACACCAGTTTAGATGCAAGAACTACCTTGATCCACTGCATTTATAAATGAAGTGGGAAAGAAAAAGAATGCCCTGGCTCTATTGGATTTCTTATGTAACAGCCTGTTTTAATTTGACAAATGTTTATAGTTCAATTTGTTTCCCTTTACAGGATATTTTAACAGTCTACCCATTCAATAAAATCTCCAACTGGAGCAGTGGGAGCACATACTTTCACATGACAATAGGGAACCTGGTACGAGGAAACCGGCTCTTATGTGAGACATCTCTGGTAAGAAGAGTTTCCTCAACTTAGACACAACAACATCCAGTACCACTGCAGATACAAAAAGCATTCACTGCTGTGTCAATAAAACTGCCATTTAGAACTGGTTCCATGCTACATCATGCCATCTGATGCAAAGGTGTAGACACAGGACTCAAGGAAAATAGTAATTTCCCAAATTCTTCCCATACATCAAAATTCTACCCACCCGAGACATTAAGACTGCAAAACTATGTAAGAGGCTTTTTGTCTTGCATGTCTGCCTCCATCTACGCAGGAAAGTCAGCCTTGTAAGACTTTATACTTTCCAGTGAGAGGTACCAACTTCTTAACAATTGGTTTCAGACTGTCCAGAGGCTCAGAGAAGCATCACTGTATTCATATTTAATGGTAGGTTTGTAAAGATAACAAAAACATTTGTAGGCTAACTTCTCTGATGCAAAAGCCTGGATTCTTAAAATACAAGAATCTCAGAGTACAGGTCAAGCTATAGAGTGAATGAATACCCAGGAGACAGCAGAGCTATGCTCTGTAAAGTTTTGGAAATATATGAAGAGCAGAGGAAGAAATAGGTAAGTTATTACTAAAACAGTGACAAGTCATTACTAAAACAGTGACAGCTATTGAAAGAGATTAGGGAAGAACCTAAGAAGATGATAAACCAGGGAGGAAATTCCAGTTATTTTTGCTTCTGGAGCTCTCTGAGAGAGTTAAGACTTTTTTTGTTTCCTGACAGGGTTACAAAATGGACGACCTGTTAACATCCTACGTACGCCTGCTCATGAATGCTGTAAACAAGCAAAAGAACCTCCCAGCCTGAGAGTGGGGATAGAACCCATGACCTGTATTTGTGCCAAACTACCTGTAATTTCATCTCCCATAAGAAATGCCATTTAAAAATATTTATCTTGGTGATCAGTCTTCTGATCACACACTGAATGAACTGAGTTGCTGAAATATTACTATGAGAGAAGCTCAAGTGAGCATGTGCTTTCAAATGTCTGTAACACTTGTCTGTCTTAGATGCAGTATGAGAGTTTCATTCAGATTTTGGGTTAGATGGACTTTAATGTTATATGGGAGTGGGGAAACCCTATGAGGGCCTCTTATGATAGCCTGAATCTCCTCCATTCAAAGAGAGACATACATTAACAGTTGTCTTCCTTTTGGAAAGAATGACCCTTATTGTATATGCTCTTACCAAAAGCATAAAACTCCATGCATCTTTGGAAACAAAAGTAATTTTTTTTTTCTCCTATTGGAAATTCTAAGAGTGGATAGATTCAGTAGCAGATAACTGGACACTTTGAAAGGTAAGATGCTGGTTTTCATCAGGTTATGTGCTGCACGTTACAGCAGCCTAGGACAGCCAGTCACAGAATGTAACTGTACTTCCTGCATGCTGCTGAATTAGCAGGCTGTCCCCTGACTTACCATTGCCTTGGTTAAATTAAATAGTCTTCTTTCTTCTACCTTTTATAATGCTTTTGGAAATTAACACTGCTTTTACTATGCAGTTTCTAGTGAGCCTAAACTTTGAATGAGTCTGGATTTTGGGTCCATTAGTTCTAGTTGCTCCTAGTTCAAGTTACAGATGTACTATTCAGTGCAAATCAGAATTGAAGAACTCAGTCTAACAGACATCTGTTGAAAAGAGACTTTTCTACTCTATAAAAATGTTCTCAACTTGGAGTTATGCAGACATTCCTTCATGAGACAAGAACAGCTTTAATTTCTCCTGATTCTGTTTCCTGTTTAGCAGACAGTTTGAGTGGTAAAATTTGATTCAGCTCTTATGTTCATCTCTCAGACCTTTGTAGACACACAGCTTTGGTCCCATAGCAACCAGAGTGTGCTGAGTGTGTAAAGCAGATATGCACTGGGGTGGGAGCAAGAAAAAGTACTTCTCTCTTGCTCACACTGAAACATGGACATGTCTTAAAGCATTTACACCGAGTTCCTTGAGACACAATCTGGCAGTGCTGGGAAAGCAGCTCTGCCTGATCTCTCAACTTTGCCAATGGATGCACAATGGTTCCCTTGTTCCCTCAGACACGTGTGTGTGTGAAATTCAAACACCGATGGGATTTTTGTTCATGGGTGGCAGGGAAGAGCCTCACTCTGTGCATCCAAACGAGTGCCACACCTGTCAGAACAGTGATCCTTTTGCAAGCAATTAGACACTCCTGCTGTAATGTCCATTGCTGGCAATGGAAACCCTGGAGATTCAATCCTTGGAGTGGTTTTGATCTACCTGGCTATAAGTGAGGAGCATTCAATGATTCACCTGTACAGAAAGAAATTCTGCAGCCAAACTGTACTGTTCTTGGTTTTTAAATAAAGATTGCAGAAAATCAACCACAATGTCTTTTTCTTACCAAGAAACTTGAGTATTTGCTCTAGATCCACGTCACTTAAATTTATCAAGTATCTACTACAGCCTGTAAATGATCACAGCATCCCATCTGTGTACAAACACATTTTGTACACTACAGCCTCTAAAAGGATAACCCCCCTTTCTGCACACCCTCATCAAGCAACATATCACCAGAGAAGCAGCACAGATCTAAAACATGAATTCACCACAACAGTGTCTCAGGTTTGGGCAATCCCCAGGGTTCCTCAGGTGCTTTCTGGTTCATCATTGCAAATATAGTATATTTTTTAACCATACATTATGCAAATTTTTTACTTTTTTTTGTGTAAAGATTTAAAATGTATTACCTTTATTATAGGAACATAAAAAGATACAATATTACAGCATTTCAATGCACAATCACACGTTTTGATTAGACAGCACAAGCCATGTGTGATAAAATGAGAGCTCTACATGATGCAGAACCTACACCGCTCATCAAGGCCTGAACCAAGGCAGGTAGCTGCTAATTCTTTTCTCAGTCTATAACACCCTCAGCACTTAAACAGTGCTTTACAGACTAGTACAACCACATTTACTATGTTTGCCTGCAATCTATTCCTTCACCATCCAACCACTTGTGAAAAAAGTGTCAGTCATATCATCTAATACACACCATGTGACATCAGGAACCCTCTGCACCAAAGGCTGACCAACATTTGCCAACATTGCAGAGACTGCTGTAAAAATAAACACCAGGATGCAAACCCTAGAGAGCAGATTAGTTGCCATCTAGACAAGTGATTAGCATATCCTTTGAATACAAACAAGCTTCACATACTGTGCTTTCTAAAAGCAAAACCATTTTCAAGTGTACTCAGTTAATGTTAGTGATTTTAGTTATGTAGAAGTAAGAATGTAAACTATAAATGCATAGAATAAGACAACAGCTTTTAGTAAGTGTAGGCTTCTGAGCCAAGTTCAACCTGGGCATAAATCTGTACTCTCCAGTGGTGAGATACTGAGGGTGAATTTGGCTAGCAGGCTGATTTACAACAATGGAAAAAAGCATGCAGCTTATTTCTGACTGACACCTTGACTTCATTAAAAAAGAAAACAAACCTGTCAGCCTATCAACACACTAATGAGCCTGCACTATATTCTGCTTGGTTTTTAAAAAGGAGACTCAGAATTAGAGGAAGATGCATTTTTTAAAACTATTTATATTATTTTTCCTACTCCTTCAATTCCACTCTCCCACAAAAGGTATGTCAGTAATATTCACTACTGTAACTCCGCATACTGCAGGCTATAGGCAACAGAAGTATTAGAAAAATAATTGTGAAAAATTAATACTTTAGGAGATACTAAGAGAATATCATCTTCCACTAATATAGAGATCAGGGATTACTATGATTTTTCCCCCCACACTAATCCAAATCCTGGAGCCCCTGGTGGTCTAGTGGTAAGGGCGCGGCGCTGTCACCGCGGAGACCCGGGTTCGATTCCCGGTCAGGGCCACTCCCGGGCAGATGGGGCTCGTTAGCCCTTAAAGGCAACCCACCTACGTCCTGAGGACCTCGCTGCCACCGTCCAAGCTCGCTTGGCCCCGGCAGATGAACCTTAGGATTAAAGGGTGGGCTCAGTTCCGCGCACACTGTGTCTCACCTAAAAAATCCAATGCGCAGGCTGGAAGGTGGAAAGACCTTCCCCGGATCTTCGCTCGCGAAGACTGGCCATTAATCCAAATCCTAGAGAACTGAACAGCCTATCAAAGAGAATGATATAAACTCTTCCGTGAACTCTGAAGCCTACAAGGTCTGCTGAATTTCTAGAATGAGACAAGGTAAGAGCACACACTAAATCTCTACTTGCACTACAAAAGTAATTCCATTCACCTCCATATACACAATTTTCCATTGCTGAACTTGAGTGGCCACTGAAAGAGTATTACCTATTGCCTGCTAGTGACGTGGTCCTTCCCTATTTACCAGGAACGTGCTGCTCTGTGTTCCTCCACCTCCTTCCCAGGAGGGATACACAGCTGCTCAGATTCAGCACAAGGCATAGGCTGGGATTGAGATTACAGGAACAGACCGGAATGCTTTATGCTGAGGAGGATCTGCATAACCCACTGAACTGAACCTAGAGCAGCACTCCCTGTGTTTCCTGCTGTGACAAAAATGTCAACAATAGGTTTTCAGGATGGGTGTTTACAGTGGCCACACCCTACTGCACCAAAAGACATGCTCTTTGTGCCCTTAACTTAAAGTCTGTTTTAAGGCTAGTGAGAGAACAGCAAGTGTTCTCTTTTCCTAAAGCAGTGACATAAGCAGCTGCTCTTACTGGAACCTACAGAGATTGTGGCCAGGAGAGGATGGAAGAGTTTACTGTTAAAACTAGGCCTATCCCCTCATCAGTGTTACAGTGGATACAGTATAACACTAAGAAAAATTAAAGGTAACTTAGGGCAACAAAAAGCAAAGCAGATTAGGGAAACTAAGTTAGCAAAGACAGAGAGAATCTAAGAGATGGTCTGACGTGGAATTTTGATCTGCACACAGTTCACCAGGGTTTCCCACCACTGCTCTGGTATCAGGGGTGCAGTTCCATGGGTAGGAGATCCAGTAAGTGTGTTAACACAATTTTAAGGTAGATTATTGTCCAATCCAGCTGCTGCTCACACATACAAGAAATGGGGAAACTTTAACTTCTCACTAGCTAATTCACCTGGGGCTGCAGGGTGGTGCCTAGGCCCAACTGCTGTGTTCATTTGACCTATTAATCTACCCACTTTTCGGAAGGTTTAAATCATGCAAGGGACAGAAGTCCTCCAGTGCTTGTCAGCCTCACAAAAGGGCAGGCACAGCCTCAACTGTTCATGGAAAGGGATTTTCAGGTTGCTCAGCTTAGTTCACAAGAAAATACAGGGAATGCCTCCAGAGGATTCCGAAGCTCCTGTGATTATACAGCGTGCGGGTGGGCTCAGGAACAGCACTGGTGATGGCTCACCCCTAAAGAAGTATTGAGAATGTTCAAAACCAGTAAATTTCTCAGCACCTTGGGTTGTAGTAGCAGAGACAGAAGTACCAGTGAAACTTCACTGGGGATAGGCAAAACTACAGGGCAGGACTATATGCTTGAGATGTACACATTCATGATTGAGATCCTCTCTCTAAGTACACTCAGGTCTTAAGAAGAAAGGTGATGGGGCAAATCTTATTTGGGTAAAAATGTTAAGAGAAGTACTTTCTGGGGTTTTTTCCTGCATAAGACCACATTTGCTACAGACTGTAAACATTAGAAATGCCTTCATGTATTGGGCTTTCTGAAGGATGACCAACAAGCCTATACTCAGCTTGCAAATAAAGTGAGAACAGAGAAATTTAAATGCCTAAACCGGTACTATATTATCCATTTGATTTCCCTGTGCAAAGGAACAACCAAGGCTTCAGCCACACTACCTCAAGAAATATCAGCTACACCAGTGGATAGGAGGACATGCTTTGTGTTGACCAGCAGAAGCTCTGGTAGCCATGTAGAAGTAGAGAACAGAGAAAATGATGAGTGTCAATTCTAACAGAATGTTTTGTTTCCCCATAGCCATCCATCTCCTCCTCAAGGAGAACCCAACTATTCTGAAGAGGCTGACACGGCCTTGACAACTGAAATCTCCTCAGTACTGAGCACGGGAGCAGCAAAGCAAACTTGTGCTGCTGTCCCAGCACTGGGCCTAAGACACACAAGCCGGCAGTGCAGATACCAGAGCTGTTGGTTCCTGGGCCTTTCCAGTAAACCTACAAACCACAAGGACTGTACCAACACCCATATATTCTCAGAAGGAAAATGGAGAAAGACCAGAACTTTTTGCATGTAGCAAAGAGAACTTTCAGAATATTTGCCTAGGTACTAAAAAACCTAAAAATTTCTTCACCCACAGTAGGAAGAAAAATGTTGATACTTTATCTGAAAAAGAGCAAATCAGACATTTCTTCCAGCCCTACACTAAACCACTGTTTCCAAATTCCTTAGACTAAGAGGAATGGAGAGAGAAGCTGAGAGAGAAGCTTCCTCAGTTAAACTGAGGAAGGAAAGATTGTGTACAATTCCACAAAGGCAAAAAGCGCTGTTATTAGCAAATTAATAACCTGCCTGTAAACTGCTCAAGCACAAACCATACTCCTCTTTCTGCCAGTGTTAATAGACAACTGCTTGAGAAAAGGGACAGTCTAGATGCAAGCAACACTACCAGAAGCAGGGGAAGGGACTACTTATCTTTGGTTTCACTTCTTAGTAATTGCCTCTGTAATCAAGAGCTGCAGTGAGCAGCAGCTTTTGTAAAAGTGCAGTCACGAGACTGACAGACCTGTTTAAGCAGAGTTTAAATCTAGAGCTTTGGGATGGGCCTTCTTGGATGCCAGCTCTGACAACTTCTTCAGGCGTTTCTTCAGCTCCAGAGGGAATTTCTCATAGCACTTCTTGCACACAGGTTTCATGTCGAACTCCACAAATTTATTCCTTTAACACAAAGAGCAGTCATTAAAATGGTATTTGCAAGCTATATGCTTCGATAATTCAAATCTCCATGCATCCATCTGCATTTACAAAACAACTCATCATCTGGTGATGTAAGAACAGAGATTGGGTTCTTACCAGGGAACGTGGGTCTTTAGCATCCCTAGTTAAATAAGGAGCCAGGTTTTGCTATATATTTGTATGCAACAATCTAGAGCAATAATTTTGTTATTGTAGAATGCAAGTGTCACTTCAAAGGTCCTCTTTGTGATGAATTAGAGCTCCTTCATATACAAGGCCAGTGGAGCCAACCCAGCATAGCAGGATAAGTGTTTGAACCTGAGACGGGAAGAACGTAGGATTGCTTTTTCCTGTCCCTCTTCTACATATTTGAGATAAATAGCATAGTATTTTATTTCAAACTAATCTGTAGAATTTTAAATATTGTCACTGAGGGGAGCATGCAAACTTAAGGAGACATGGAGGTTGTGGGTTGTTCAGGAGAGGCAATTCCTCAAAATTCAGAGCCTTCCCTCTGTACTGCTGAATGAGTTCTCCTCTTACCCAACCTTCTTACAGAACAGATTAAGAAACAAAAATAAATCATAGAACATGCTGAATGCCAGCTCTCCTTTAATCCTGAAATCAGCGGAATTATAAGCACCTGCTCCCACAGAGAAGAGGTATACTGCTCCTCAGAGAGCCCCTGGTTCATGGCTCCCCCAGGCTGATACCCTACCTTAGGGGCAAATGTCTCACATGATCCAAAATATAAACACTGACTTACTTCAGTGTGAGCTTGATGTTGCAGGTGGAGCAGGAGAAGCAATTCACACACCAGGCCTTGTTAAGAGCTGATACCACTGCAAAAGCAAAAGCACAAAGTAAGAAGAAACTGCCAGATTACTTGAATTCAGATTTATATCCAAATTCAAATGGTGCCAGATGTGAAAACAAACACTGGTGCCTTGCAACTGTGGGACTGCAACAGCTGCATTAACAAATGGAAGGAGGACAGCAACCCAAAACAACGAGAGAACAAATCTTACCATCTCCCTCTATCACGTGGCTGCAGTTGTAGCAGACATCTCCAAAGAGCTGCACAGAAAAAGAAATAAGAACAGGAACTCATGTTGCTGACTACTCATGCTCCCCACATTATGCAGCTGGTGTGAACATTAAATCCTAACAATCCAAGAATTCCCAGATGCTGCAGTGGCCCCCAGATATACCAATTTAAATCTTCTGAATAACTTCTCATACACTTGCCAAATAGTCTATGTTCCTTTGGATCTCATACCACTAAATACTACAAAACCCTTTTTGTTGATGCCTCACACTCTACCACTGTTATGGGATCTTAAAGTCCTGTATATGTGGCAATTGAAGAAAGGTTCAGTAGAGTATAATGCTTACTGTAGACAAACATCTCCTGATGCTCAACTGTAAATACCTAAATAAAACCTAGAGCTTCTATCAAAACAGTAACACTTACCTCATTTATCTGACAGAAAATACCAAACTCATAGCTGTTCCATAGAATCATACAGAAAAAAACAGTTTGATTGGCTTTTGAAATGTAGTTTCCCATGCTTTAGGCAACATAACAGTTGTCTCAGGCCCACAGAAGAAAGTATTATCAAAGATGGCCACACAAATAGTTTAGAAGTGCAATTATAGGGATTTTAATCACAACCCATAGTCAGTGCTTTTCTCTCAATGGCACAGATTACAATCAGTATCCTCAAGTCATTTCTATTCTGTTCTCAACATTGCTTTTCCACCTACCAAGAAAAACTACTTTTTCTGTTAAATCTCACAAATTTCTTAATATTGCATTGCCTCTACAAATTCAGATTATGCAAAATCTGCACAGCTTTGCATATAAAAATGAAAAAAAAGCATTTGCCAGTCAGAGCAAGTACCTACAGCATAGATGGCAGAATTTACCTGGTTATAGTGGGTTTCACAATAAGCCAGTCCTTTTTTCTCATAGTGTCGGTGCCCCAAGAATGGCTTCTCACATTTGGCACAAACAAAATGCTGTAGAAGAAAGAAAAGACATTCCGTGGCAGACAAAGTGACTTTCCCATCACCAGGGAAAAGCTTACCCAGCTGCAAATCATGGCTTAATACATGACACTTAATGGCCCATCTCGTTTCCACCCCCTGCCGTGGGCAGGGACACCTTCCACTAGCCCAGGTTGCTCCAAGCCCTGTCCAAGCTGGCCTTGGACACTTCCAGGGATGGGGCAGCCACAGCTTCTCTGGGCAACCTGTGCCAGGGCCTCACCACCAATTCTTCCTAACATCTAATCTAAATCTACCTCTTTCTGTTTAAAACTGTTACCTCTTAATGCTTTAGTGAAGCACAGACAGGAAAATCTTTATGGAAGCAAAAGAGAAGAACAGATATTTAGTCTCTATAGTAATTAAGAATTGTATTAAAGATAGGTAGAAGACCTGCTGGAAGGACTTGGGTCTATAGTGATAGACTTGTGCACTATTATCTTGCTTGTTTCAGAGAAGAGAAACAGGAACAGAAAACATATGAATACACTTCAAATGAGCAGCAGCATCTCTCTCAGTTCAAGCCCTACGAGGCTTAAATGACAGAAATCAGAAATCACTAAAAAATTTCAGAGCAGGTTGTGATGACTCAGTTGAAAGTTATAGAAACAATGAGCTGAAAAGGCAGTAGGAATTGCACTGGCTCTGTTTGCAGCAGGAATTCCAACACATGTATCTATCTACCTGTTAACTGTGATTGGAAAGGATGTATCTCAAGTACCTCATAGCAAATATGGAAATTTATTCGTAAGTAAACGCTGTTCAGTGAATCATATTCTGCAAGAATCTTTACAATGCAACTCAGGCATTTTAAAAATAAGGTTATTACTGCTGCAAAAGCATAGCTTTCCTGATGGCCCTGCTGCAATGATACCCAAAGGTGAAGACAGTCTGAAACATAAGCAATTTGGTTTTGTCTGAATTCATACATTACACATCACCTACATGTCTACAGCTTTCAAACAGCACTAGGAAAATTTATCCTTTCCCAAACTGGCTCTTGAAGGCAGTTTCAGATTCAGAGAGGCCTCACCTCAACGTGCCACTGCTTTCCCAGGGCATTGACCACTCTCCCCTCGATGGGCCTGCGGCAGGCCCCACAGATGGGGATCCCCATCTTGTCATGGCAGGGCAGGCAGTACAGCTCTCCCTTCAGCTCCCGGGCCTCGGCAGTCAGCTCCTTCCTGAAAACACAAACATTCCCTGAAGTAAGAACACTGAGGGAAGCTCTTAAATGCCCAGGATGAAGTTTTGGAAGATTAAACTGGAACGTTAACTTAGGCAATGTTCATGCTACAAATGCAGGGTCATTAAGCTCGTGAAATACAGTTATTGTCAACTCATCTTTCTCAAACTGCTTTCTCAGTTTGCCAGACAAGAACATATGTAGAACATCACGTCTTCAGCTACAAACCCTTGCAGAAATACAAGGTGCACTTACACATGGAACAAGACAGTGCCATGCTAAGACCTGAGCTGTCTCTGAATGGGAGAGCTCAGGTACAAGAACTATCCTAGCAGTGCTCAACCCTGAGTCACTTGCACTGTTACCCCATCTAGGGCTGTACTGTGCCCCAATTATACTGCATTTGTGGCAAAGTAAATCAGGTCAGACAGCATGGTAATAGTCTGAACACTGACACAGCTCTCTTTTTTTTTTTTTTTTTTTCCTATCCAGGAATTCAAACGAAACTGTTTTGAATAGCCTGATAACTGCTGTCTTTGGACAACACTGCTATGGTAATCTGCACACTGCCTTTCAGGCAAGCTCGTACCTAGGAAATATTTTCATTATAAAGTAGTGTCATTCAAGGTTAGAATAAGAGAACATCGAATGGCAAAATAAAACTAAAGCTTCTGTAGGCTTTCCAAATTTATTCCGATTTTTCCTCACCCAATTTCTGTTTGTTCAACGATGTGAAGGTAACAAAGTTCACACCTTGGGAAGGACTGCACTGCTGACTGAACTGTTCGTCTCTGTTCTTTTTTGTCAGAGTTTACAGATGAGAACATACCCACAGTGGGTGCAGTTGAAGTGATCTGGATGGTAGGAATCATTTCTAAACATCAGAGGCTGCTCATCAATTATCAAGTGGCACTTCTGACAGATGTACTTGCCCAGTCCCTTGGCTTTTTCACGGTTATGGCAGGGCCTGCACAGATGCCTGATTGAACAAAGTAAAGAAAATAAAGTATTAAAAAATGCTTTCTCTTAAAACAACATACAATTCATACTGCAGGAAGTACTTTATTTATTACAAGTGTCTTCCAAGGTCAGACTAAACATAATTCACTTTGGTATCCAGTATTTCACATCAGTTGCACAGAGAAGAATATGTGGATAGAGCAGTCACAGAGTATTTCCTTAGAATACTCCTTCAACATTCACTGATTTACATCACATCAGGGATATCACATAATTATTCTTCTAGGTATCCTTTCTAACACTTTGGATCTTTTTTGAGAGCTGGGCAAGGAAAGATGGCAATACACTCTATTACTAACTGTGGGATCCAAGCATAACAGAGGCACTACAGCACTGGGAGGGAGTCGAGGACAGAGAACAAGAAGTATTAAACCAAAGTGCATTGCTTGCATGCCTTTACCATGGCTGGATTCCTCAGTCTTCAATAGCCAGGACAAACAAGAAAAAATTGAATGCTGGGTCTTTGACCTACAAATTCCTTTTAGTCCTAAGTTAAAGAAAATAAAGAACTATGCAATTTGCAATTTTGTATGGTAAATGCAACTGTGTTCCTATCACATGTTCTAGAACACATTACAAGTACATCCCTGAACAGGTAGATAAAGCAAATTCCTGGTAGAAGAACTCAGAAAAAAAGGCATAAAAAAATTTGTGTAAAGGCTGATGAAACCCACCAGTTTTATTCCAATATTTAGGAGCTCTGAGGAGAAGCTGTTCAGTTTACTGGCCTATTACCTAACCCTCTAGCTGCAATGCTGCGTGCTGGGAACAATTTATGATAAAACAAACATGGCAGAGAAAATACTTCTGTGGGTTGCTTTGTCCCAAAACTAACAAGCCTGCTTAATTCCTTTCACTGTATTATCACTATGTCAAACACTTGCTGAGATTTACAGGTGTCACATGAAAAGGTGGGAGTTTAGATTTTTGCCTGTCAGTACCCCCAGGAAAGTCAAGACCTTGGTGTCCAACAGTGTGTCAGTGTCTTGTAACGAGACCCTTCACCAACAGATTCACAAGGTTGGAGGGTACTTCGACCACCCTTTTAGGGGGTGCTCAACAGAGCCAAGACCCCTCAGCAGGCCCTGCCAAGGTGTTTTCCGCTGCCAGCAACTGCAAAGACTCACCTGAACAGTTCACAGAATAATAATAATAATGGCCAGTCTTCTCGAGCAAAGATCCGGGGAAGGTCTTTACACCTTCCAGCCTGCGCATTGGATTTTTTAGGTGAGACACAGTGTGCGCGGAACTGAGCCCACCCTTTAATCCTAAGGTTCATCTGCCGGGGCCAAGTGAGCTTGGACGGTGGCAGCGAGGTCCTTAGGACGTAGATGGATTGCCTTTTTTTTTAAGGGTTAACGAGCTCCATCAGCCCAGGAGTTGCCCTGACCGGGAATCGAACCCGGGTCTCGGTGGTGACAGCGCCGCCCCCTTACCACTAGACCACCAGGGACTCCTCACAGAATAACCCTCTTCATTAATACAAATTGTGACACATTAATAACGTTTGAAGGTTGTTGGTGATAGTTTCTAACTGCAAAAATATCTACTGATACATATATTAAGCAAGCACAAGCTCTGATACCAAGCAATCTACTAACGTGCTATGGGGTGAGCACAAACACAAGTTCTAGTCCTAAAAGCAGCATTTAATGCATATAGAGTATAATTTTCAAACAAGGCATTCCTCTGGGGAGGGAAGATGGACTCAGTCCATCAACTAATCCCAGCAGTTTCAGTGAAGGTCTTCTCCTGCTTTCCCCCTATCCCCAGCTTACTTTTATACTAATTTTTTTATGTTTGGGTGAAGTTTGCATGGCTCTAGTCATAAAGACCTTTTATTTCTGACTGGTGTACCTAGTGGGAGGGGCGGCATCTGAGAAGGGGCTTCGACATGGTAGTTGGCTTGAGCAGCAGAACACCTTGATTTTCCCTTATCAGACAGGTATTGTACAGTCTCAGTACCACAATGTTCTCCCATTCTGCTGGGATTTGAATGGAGGAGGGCTATGTAGTCTCCACTTCGTTTCACACTCCATTATGTTTCTCTGAGCAGATGTTCACTGTTGTATTGGGGAGCATCTCGACCTCAGTCTGTCCAGGCAGTTGCAACTGCTTTTTACCCTAGAATTCTGAATCTCCTCTAGATTTAACCCTATCCATCATCCCACAACAGGTCATTCTCAAAACACACCAGACAAAAGGAAAAGTTCAAACGGAAAGGGCAGAGTTACAGGTGAAGCAGTGTGTTCTTCCTCCAAAATTCTGCTGTGATGAATCACCCTTAGATCTGTAAAATGGGGGTAAGAACACAACACAGATGTTGTTGTGAGACCTCAAACATTTATGACCCTCAACTGGCAGGCGCCTGCCTAAGTGCTAAGTATCGTTATTATTCTCTCCAAATCTGAGTCCTCCTCTCAGCAACTGTCTCTGTCCAGGGCTGGAACTACTGTTTGCCCAGACAGAGTGCAGAAAAAAGCAGACAGCACCCCATTATAGGGAAATATGCAGCTGTGCTCATCTCAGCATAATGGCATCGATTTTATTCGGCACTGTCAAATGCAGAGTAATTATACAGGGCAGGACATGGGGACCCCGAAGCAAGTGTCCTGAAAGAGACCCCTCTCATTCAGCTGAATGAGATGCCTTCAGCCATTTGCACTGATAAACCATTATCAACCCCCTCCCCACTCACAAACCCTCTGCCCTCCCATAGACCCTCCTCTATTGCAGGCAAAGGGAAGTGTTGGACAGGCTAAGCTGTTGCCATAGCAGCCTCCCTTCACCCTCTACCCCTCCCCACTCCCACCATTATGGAATTATCCCATTCTGAAATGTCCTGTTGTGTCTATTAATACTAGATTTCCCACAAACAATGCTTCTCTCCACCCTCCTAAAATAATCAAGGGACTCCAAGGAGTCTGTGTTCACGGCTGGGAGTTCAGTAGCAGCCTTCAGTAAGCACCATGAACACTGCAATATTCATGCAGGATATTCATATCTATACCAGCAGCAGCACCCCCAGTGCCAAGAGCTCAGCTGGGATGAATTCTGCTCTTCAGTGCTGGGGTTTCCTCTCCCCTGCTCTGTTGTGGGACTGAGCTGATAATGCACTATCAGAGTGAGGAGGACACTATATAGAGGACCTCCCTCTCCACCCTCAGCAACTCCACAACTGTGCACTCTTTTGGAATCATCTTGTTTTCTCCGTTCTGCTTCTACTTGGTTTGCTGTCGCCAGGAGGAGTTCCTTGAGACTTTCCCCAAAAGGACCCTACACTCCACCCACAGGACTGCACTGTAAAGAGGTAAGAGACAATTCTGTTAGAAGGGGCTTTAGGAGCTTTCTTCTTTCAGGAGCATTTTTTAGGACTTTCCTAATGTCATTAGTTCTAGCTAGTGAGGAGCAAAGACACACATGCTGAGATGGCTGAATATAGTGGAAATGTCTGAATCTAAGAATAGGCAGCATTTTTTGAATTTCAAAGATTAATTTCCTTGTCTTTCTTTACATCGCTCCTTCAAAACAAAAACTTCCCAAACTTTTGTGCCTAATGTATATCCATTTGTGCCAGCTGTATGGTATGTCCAGTGCTCTCTGACACTGCTTTGGTGCTCACAAAAACCAACTATTTCAGCTGAAGGGTGGTGATCTCAGCAGGGAATGATTTTCAGGAGAATAACTTCAGTCAGAGGCAGATTAATTCTAATGAAAAGTACTTTGAGTGAAAGGTAGGAGACACCCCCATTTGACAAGACACTAAATCCATAATCATAACAAAGCACAAAGCAGTGTAATCACAAACCAGAAACTACACTAGCTGGGGGCAAGAAGAGGAATTTCTGATATCCACCACAAACCCTAACGCAGAGTTCATATTTATCTGCAGTGGGTGTTCTAACAGAGCTCCAAACTAGCCAGGTAATGAACTTACGGTGACCTAAAGATTTCTTCTGCTAGTTAATTGTTTCATTAATGACAGATGGAGCATCTGCTGTGAGAGTGACTGTGTTATGTCCACGCTGACAGCCTTGTGGATTGTTATCTTGTTTCTGAGCAGAGGAGAAACAGGGCATAAAATACGGTCAGTGTGCATACACTTGGAATGAGCAGTGACATCCCATTACAGCTCAGCCCTGGGAGGCCTGGGATAATGGCTCCTTCCAAAATAGTGCTCTGTTTAGCAACATGTAAATCACTAAATATTCACACAGCAACAAGAGTGCAACCCAGGCGGAAATTACTGGATAATGAGCCAGACTCCTAAAGGAGTTTTCTGTCTGTGAAGTCAAAGCCTCTTGCACTATATAGCTCGACACAAATTACACATTCTAGGTAATTTGGGAATGTTTCTCTTCGCATTTATATAGACTAGTACAACAGGCTTTCTAGGACTCCAAGTGCTTTTTTTGGTAAGCATAAAAAAACCAAAAAAGGAAGTAAAAAAACCCCTAAAAACACTTATTTTAAATTGATAGGATAAACCCAAGAAAAATAGAAGTGGGACTGCACATAACAGCAGGGGGCTTTCAGCACTCTCTACAGAACACGCTGGTCAGAGAATGATTACTTTTATAAAATTGTAGCATTTTGTTGAAAACATAAATTCTAAAAATAAGATCAACAATTAATTCTAGTGACATCGGCTTTTTTCCCAACCTACTCAAGTGCTACACCACAGTTTTCACCAAATAAGCAGAATTGTAAAATACATAAAAGCTTTAATTAAAATTTCCTTCTATTTTAAAACATAAACAAAATGAGAAGGAGGACCACTTCCCTTTTCTGTGATTTCTAATCAGACAGTGAAAAATATCTACCTTGCTCTCAAAAGTAAATTGGGTAACAGCAACTCTCCTACGAAGGCACTCATTTGCAAAGACTGAATTTATTTCAATTCTATCATTAGTTCTAAGCCTCTCTCTTCCTGATGCTGACATAGTGGGCTTCTTAGAC